ACCTGCCACACAGTGTTAAAAAAAGATTTGCGTTTGTTCTCCTATCGTTTAACTTGTCAGCAAGAACTTCATGAAGTTGATTTTCCGCGACGGGCTGTATTTTGTGAATGGTTTTTAAACAACTACGGTGAACTTCATAATATCACCTTTTTTTCTGATGAAGCCTGGTTTCATTTAAGTGGTTACGTAAACTCACAGAATATGAGAATGTGGTCTTCTGAAAAACCAGATAACTTTTTTGTCGAGGGCCCTCTACACGCTCAAAAAATTGGAGTTTGGTGTGCTCTCAATCGAAGGAGGATTTATGGACCTATTTTTTTTAATGGTACTCTTACTGCGCAAAGGTATAGAGAAGAAATTATCGCTCCTTTTGTTAACCAGCTGGAAGAAAACGAAATTACAAACTTTTACTTTCAACAAGATGGCGCAAGGGCACATACGGCAGGCGAGACGATGAATATGTTGAGGGAAGTTTTCCAAAATCGACTAATAAGTCTCAATGCTGAACATGAATTTCCACCGAGGTCATGTGATATTACGCCGTGTGATTTCTTTTTGTGGCCTTACCTTAAAAACACTATTTTTGAACTGCCTATTCCTGATTTAAACCATCTGCAGGCTCGACTTATAGACAAGATTCGTGAAATTAACAATACCCCGAGCATCTTAGAAAATGTCTTTAATTCTTTGAGGAACAGGTGTGAAAAGTGCTTGGAACAAGGAGGGGGACACTTTCAGCAGCTGCTTTAATTTATTGTTATAACAAGGAGGGGGACACTTTCCGCAGCTCCTTTAATTGTTTGTTATTGTTATCACGATTATTCTTTAAAATAAAGTTATATAGTCATTAACGTTATTGAAACTGACAGCTGCTATACAGCTCGTTGAGAAATGAGGTTAAGTTGGTCGCTATAAGCTACTCCCTACGTCCAATGTGTCAGAGCCAACTTCGACCACGTTTTTATTTGAACGCTCGTTAGTTCTAAAGTCTTTTTCGTTCCAGTTAACTCTAAACTGTCTTTTTGACACTTAGGAAACAGAATCAGAATGTCAACATTTTATTTTAATTTTCTGAAAAATTAAATAAACTTCAATTAGTCTTTTGAAAGTAATTTCCCGAATGTATCACTTTTACTCATCAATTTAGCGAGGACGGCTGCGAAACGTGTTCGCGGAGTGCCTCGACGTTCGCGTGCGTGGGCGCGCGGCCTTAGACCAACCCAATCGCTATCGCTCCGGCAACAAACGGCCAACCGAATAAACACCTGTCAACAAGTGTTGCCGACGAGAGAATCGCCAAAGCCTGAGCTACTTTGTAGCGGAGAGTATTTCTGGATCTGTGCCTAATCGGCGTCTTCCCACGGGTGCTATTTTAATTTATCGTTTGGTTCGGGCGGCGGGCATATTTCCCGAACGCGGAGATTATAGTACGAGGCTATTACTACTGGTTAATTAATTTTTATCGCGAATGACGAAACGGAAGGTCGCCGCTGCAGCGTGTCCAAAGGCTCGCTCTCTGGTCCATTAATGGCAATTACGGAAACAATGGGTCGCTCGCGTACTTTTGCCGGTTTATGTAACCGAAGACGTGGCTGGTATTCACATTCGTCGTAATAATACACGTGTATTTCCCGCAGGGACATTAATGCGTGGCGTCGCGTTGGCTTTTTTTCGAATCTTTTCGCGAGCGGCGTTGCCAGATTGAACAAAATTATTAACTTTTCGGAAAAAATCCTTATACCACTGTTATGTTTCAGATAATAATAAACATATATATTTTTTTAATATAGAAAGTTTCGAATCGCTTAAGGTTCACTTGGTGACGAAGTCAGGAGATGTTTCGTTTCCGAGGTAGAAGATTGTTCGGGTTAAAATTCCTGAAAACCTTTTTTTAATACGTTCAAAACCTTTACAAACGAACGAGTGAAAATTTACATAAGACATTTAATTTTTTATACATTGTCGGACACCCATGAAAGAGAATAATTATTTCGCTTATTTACGATTAGAACCTTAAAATTAAGACTACAAAAATGTCTCTTAGGTACGTTTTTTATTTGAAACCATCGACGAGTTGTTTAATTTTATGAGTAAAAAAAATCATAGTCATCAGATGGTCTTATAAAGGCTATAAACTGCAATGTATGTAAATTCTTCTTTGCTCATCTTTAGGCTTAATGAAAAATTAAAAAAAAAATTGAAATTTTAGTTCCAACATCTCGCAGGAACTTTCACATTGCTATGGGTGTCCTAATCATACACGACATATATAAAATACATATATAGGGTGACCGAAAGAATTAAGTAGCGATATTAAAAATAACAAGTTCTTATAACACTCGAAAACTAAATATTAACAAAATACAGGGTGGGCTATTATTGTGAGAAAGTAAAATAACTTTTTGTTATTCGTAATACAGAAAAAAATTGATATACAACCTAAAGGACAAAATTAGTTTGAAACATACAGGACGATGAGTAAAAACGGGACACGCAATTATTACATTTTTTAAATGGAAAACTCTGTATATTTTTAATCATATGGATTTCTGAGAAAATTCTATATATGGCAATATGGACAGTTTAACATTTTTATGCGGGGTTGCCAAGTTATGTAGAAAATTTTGGAAAATACATGACCTCGAAAAAGTTGTATTAACTTTCAACTACTAACACTTGGAGCAAAAATATTTGACAGAGTTATAGGCAAGGACTCCTATGTTAGCTAATATCGATATTTTATACAGGGCATTTTTTTTATTATACGATCATTTTAAGAATGTTCAAACGTGATTTTCTATAATTTTTCAAATGGAACACTGTATTTTATTGTTCTATTTTATTCACATATCGGTCCACTTCAACTTTAATTAAGTATGTTCTACACCTAAAGTTGTTAGTTTTTAAGATATAGTAACATTTCTGGAAAACCTAATTTTTATTATTTTCGGTCGCACGAAATGGCTTTGGAAAACACTGTCACATTGTGTCAACTTGTCAATTCATAATTTATCATTCCATTTTGAGTTAATTTTATTAGATAATATTTATTTGTGGTATTCTATAAAATAATCAAAATTAAGTTTTTTCAGAAATGTTGCTAAGTATATCTTAAAAACTAACAATTTTAGATATAGAACATGCTTAATAAAATTTGAAGTGGACTGATATGTGAATAAAATAGAACAATAAAATACAGTGTTCCATTTGAAAAATTTTGGAAAATCAAGTTTAAACTTTCTAAAAATGATCGTATTATAAAAAATTCGCTGTATAAAATATCGGTATTAGCTATCATAGGAACCTTTGTCTAACATTTGACTCTGTCTAATTATTTTGTTCCAAATGTTAGTAGCTGAAAGTTAATACAACTTCTTCGAGGTCATGTCTTTTCCAAAATTTCAAGAATTTTCTACATAACTTGGCAACCCCGCACTAAAATGTTAAACTGTGTATATTGCCATATGAAGGGTACGAGAAAAAAAGATGAACGTCCAATATTTGCCATTTGTAAATAAATACATATAACGATGCCACTGCTTTCATGAAAACAATCATACTGGCAAAAAGAAATGAGGGTTGAAATATACAGCGTACTTAGAATTTGAAAGAAAGATGAATGTCCCGCCAGTGTGTGAAAAACAGATGAATGTCCAACTTGTAACTAGCACGTGTTCTGATGTTGCTCCTGTTAGATTTAGTTTGTCAATCGAACGCCTATACAAATGGTGACAGTTATTTAGAATGTGATCGCAATATGGGACTTTTCAATCAAAAGGCCATCAGAATTCACCATACAACAAGACAGCAACTTAAACTTGTGTTGAAGCATCATGTAAAAGACACTTCTTTTATTTTACGTTGTATTTTTATTCAAGTAGGTTTGCTTTTTACTTATAATAAAAAGTTACCTATTAAAATTCACATTGTTATTCGAATTGTTTTCTGATTCTTTCTCCCCGAGTGATGTGACATTCATCTTTTTTCTCACATTTTTTTGATAGCCCACGATATTACATATTATATATTCGTAGACACATATAATTTTATTTAAAAAAATAACTAAAAGGTGTATGATGTGTTTTAAAATATCAGTCTTTGAAACTTAAATTTCATTTTACTCGAGACTTGTATTTTGCGACATTCATCTTTTTTCCCCTGTACCCTTCATATATAGAATTTTCTCGGAAATCCATATGTGTAAAAACATACAGTGTTCCATTTAACATAAATGTAATATTTGGCGTGTCCCGTTTTTACTCATCACCCTGTATGTACCAAATTAATTTCGTAGTTTAGGTTTCTTGATTCTGTATAACTTTTATATAAACTTTTTTTCTGTATTATGAGTAACAAGGGAGTTATTGTATTTTCTCACACTAATGGCCCACCCTGTACAAGCTCAAATTTAGTAATGTTCCTGTAAATTATTTTTACATTTCATTACATTTTATTCAAGTTTAGACGTTCTTATAACGCTGAAACAAATTTTTCAAATTCAAAATTTTTCAGAATTAGTAATTTAGATGAGAAGATAATTTGATTACATTATTTTTTATTATACAACAGTAAGAGATTTTTTGCTTTAAAGAGTATTAAATTTTAAAATTCTGGTTTTAAAAACAACTGAAATGAAATATGAGATATCGTTTTTTTAAAGAGTAAAAAGCGAAATACTTTGGTCTTCATTTGTTTAATTTTAGGAGTTTTGCACGTTGAAAAAAATGTTTTCTAGAATTTTACTAAACTAAATACGTGTGTAAGAATCACCGATAAGCAAACTAATGTTATGTTATATTGCGTTTATAACATCGTAAAAAATTTCACAACCTCCGGACTAACTCCCGCCGTTAAGGTATTAGATACGGCAACGTCGCCCTCCGGAATCCAGCGCTATCGCGACCCACTTACCGCGACGTGCAAGTTCAAACACAGCTAACCTAAATCCGCGCTTCCAATCCGTCACGCGTGGGCGCAGAAAAAGAAAATCATCTACGTACCTGGTGCTGGGCGGCTTCTTCCGCGGCGGTGGCGTCGCTGGCGCCGACCTTGTTGCGGCGTCGTCCCACCCCCAATCCCGCCGCCTGTCCCACGGGCGGCACGTGGTGGTTCATCTCGTGCACCGTCAGACTCTGCTTGATGTCGGCGGTGAAGTTGCAGGCGGAACACCTGAAGGCGCCGTGTCCGTTGTGGTTCTTGCAGTGCCTGTCCAGGTTCCACTTGTAGGGCGTCCGGAAGTCGCACATGTCGCACTTGATCATCGGCATCGAGTGGTACTTGACGTGCTTGGTGTACCTGGCCTTGATGTGGGTGACGTAGGTGCACTTGGAGCACCGGAAGAACTTCGTCTTGATGTGCTCCTCGCGCTCGTGCCGCGACAGCTGCGCCTGGCTGCGTCCGGTGAACTCGCACACGGAACACTTGAACACGGCGGAGGTTTCCTCGGGGGCCTCGTCTTGCTCGCACTCGTCCGTCGCCACCTGGGGCGGCTCGTCGTCGGGAGGCGGCCGTTTGCGCGCCTTGCCGGCGGGCTCGACGCCGTCGCTGGAGCCGTGCACCATCTTGGAGTGGCGGAGCAGCTTCTGGAAGTGGCGCGACGCGTACAGACAGCTGGGGCACTCGTAGATCCTCACCTTCTCGCCGTGCACATCGCGGAGGTGGTAGAGGTAGACGCGCGGGTTCTGCGTGAAGAAGTCGCAGTGGGCGCTGGCGCACGTGTAATTCCGCTTCACCTTGCAGTCGGGTAGCTGCTTGCTGCCGTCGTGGTCGGGCGCCGAGTGGCCCTCCTCGTCGTCGCGGTCCTCGGCGTCGACGCCCGTCGACGAGCCGAACAGCGCGTCGCCGCTCACCAAGCTGCGCACTACCAGGGTGTCTCCAGATCGATGTACCATCGAAGGCACTGACATGCTAACTCGACCTCCTCCTGCAAGAACAACAACACTGTTACAACTGAACGACATTCCCCCTGTAAAACTAAAGCTAATCAATTAGTCATAAGCTGGCAGGCCCCAGTCGATAGGAGTCCGAACACGTCGACCTACGCGAGGTGCTCGGAAGCAATACATTAGTCTTGAATCGTTTCTTTGAATGCACCGTTTCCTTTCTTAAGTATTCTATATTGACCGCTCATGTTTAAATATAATACTTGATACTTCTAAGTGTACTTTCCTCCGTATCAAACGCTAAAATGAAGGATTATTCTTCTAAAAGTCGTTCATGAAAAAACTACGTAGACGTAGAGGGACCATACAAATTTTTATTTTGCCTACAAGACTAATTACGACGTATATCGTAATTACCAGTAGAAATACGAAATTAAATTACTCAATACAACGCGTAATTACAAGATTTAAGTCGTAATTACGAAATACAACTCTTAATTACGTTGTAAGGCGTAATTACGTGATAAAAGGCGTCATTGTATAATATAAGACGTAATTATGTGATACAAGCCCTAATTACGTAATACAACCCGTAATTGCATACAATACAGGTCGTCATTACGAGATGCAAGTCTTAATTACGGTATTCAAACCGTAATTACAAGATTCAAAACGTATTTACTGGATACAAGTTGTCATTACAAGACACAAGTCTTAATTATGAGATACAAACCGTAATACGTGGCAAAAAGTGTAATTATAAGATTTAAGTCGTAATTACGCAGTACAAGTCCTCATTACGAAATACAAGTATTAATTTTACGGAATTCAAGTCTTAATTACGTTACAAGGCGTAATTACGCGATGAAAAGCATCATTGTATAATATAAGACGTAATTATGTGATACAAGCCGTAACTACGTAATACAACCCGTAATTGCATGCAATACAGGTCGTCATTACAAGATACAAGTTTTAATTATGAGATACAAGCCGTAATTATCTGATACAAGGCGTAATTACGTGGCTAAAGGCGTAATTATAAGATTGAAGTCGTAATTACGCAATACAAATCTTCATTATGAAATACAAGTCTTAATTACGGAATTCAAGTCTTAATTACGTGATACAAGGCGTAATTACGTGATGAAAGGTGTAATTGTATAATAAATGGCGTAATCACTTGACGCACGGCATAGCTATGAGATAAAAGACGTAGTTATGTGATACAAGCCATAATTACGTAATACAAGTCTTAATTACGGTATTAAAACCGTAATTACAAGATTCAAGACGTATACAAGCTATCATTACAAGACACAAGTCTTAATTATGAGATACAAGGCGTAATTACGTGATAAAAGACAAGGGTAAGAAGTAATTACGTAACAAAAAGCATAATTACAATATTCAAGGCGTAATTATGAATTACAAGTTGCCAATACAAGCTAAAATGTCTTAATTAACGGATATAAGACGTAATTAAGTAATACAAAAGGCGTAATTACGTGATACAAGGAGTAATTACGTGATACAAAATGTAATTACGCGTTACAAGATGCAACTATGATATACTTATAGGTAAATGGTGTTTACGAGATACAAACACATATGTAAAATTTCCAGAAAAATTGAGCGCCGGGAAAACTTTTAAATAGGAAAAAAAACCGAAAAAATTCTGAAAAATTAAGGTTTTGTTCTAGTCAAGGATATAAAGTTATCGTAGCCACAATATAAATATTATTATGTATTAAAAATAAAATTGTAAACGTTTAGAAATTATTTGAATAAAAAAATCACCAATTAGGTTTTCGCTTAAAAAAAGCCTATAAAATTTTTTCGATATTTTCAGGATCATTTATAGCATATTGCTCTGGAATCAGAAGCATCAGATATGTGTTCAGAAGACTCCAATTTTTTTTCGTTTGTTTAGGCTTTTCTGTTAAAATTTTATTTAAAAAATACTGTCAGTGTTGTTTTCTTAGAGATACTGATATTTTGTTTATTGTCGTTGTTTACTCATGAAGAATTAAGTTTTTTTTTGTTTGTTGTCTTAAAAATAAAATCTTATATTTATCTTCTATTAATTTATACATGAGCACGAATAAATTTTGTTAAAATATGTTATTTTCATATTCATTGAGGTTTATTAAATATAAAAATAAATTAATAATTTCATTTTCATAAATTTTTGCTTTAGGAAAAAAGTGATTCTTCAACTTTTCCTGTTTGCTCCCCTAATTGTTAAATATCTATACGGTGTGGTTTAGAAAATAAAAATTGATGTCTTTGCACTTACGCAAAAACAGCGTATTTCCATTGAATATATTAATCATAAAGCATAACTATTAACTAACTGTGTCTGTTCCATTCCGTCATACTGTCAAACTGTCAAACATATTAACGGTATGTATCTATCTAATAGCGATGCTACCCATTTGAAATTCAACCATCCAAATGATCGATTTGGTGCCTCCGTCACGTAACGAATCAACTAAGTACATCTAGCTATTATCAAACTGGCGTGCACAGTTTTGCATCAGAGACTATCAAAGGTCAGTCTTATTTAGTTTTTCAGGATTATTAAAAATCGCTGTTCTAACGGGCAGCCTTGGCGTTAATTGAGATTGGAGTTCGAGGCTGTTGAAAAAGTACCCTTCGATCTGCAATTCGAAGTAGTTTATTACGTTGCAAAAAGGATTTTTACATATTTGTTATGGTTTTCATAAACAAATTTAGGTATAACTCAGAAGTTTATATTTTACTCTAGAAGATATGTCATTTATTGCATTAATAAATCTATTCAATGTTATTTTACCTTCACATAAGTACGTCGTAACCTGTTTTGTAAAAATATTTAAGTATGTAAAACAGATATTTTTTCTAAAGGTATTACAAAATAGTAAAGCTTATTTTTGTTCTTAAAAGTACTATGTAATTCCAAGAAAGTGATCTTCTCAACGAGCTGCAAAGCATTCTCCATGCTTGTGTGATTGCTGCTACGTGGTTCGTTTGGAATATTTGCACTCGCATGTAAAATGTTACTTAAATCTATATATTTCAGTTATCTAAATATTTGGCGACATTTCGCTGTCAGTATCTTCTTGCCTGGCTCTTCCAAATACCCGATACGGCAAAAACCAGCAAGACGGAAGACCAAATATCCGAAATATCAGACCCACTTGGAGATCCTATGTCGCCATAACAGATTTATGATAATATTTCGACTTGTGGATGGAATGCAAACTTGTAACCTTCAATTTTATTATTTGTATTCACGCGTTACATAACTCGGAGCCGCTAATAAATGCTAATTGCTTCTTCCTTGCCCGATAATGTCAAGTATTACAAGAATAAGCAGCGCACAGGTTAATAATATTCTACCCACGCGGGGCAACTAATCCAGATATTATAATAAATGTTCAATGCCAAACCTTCGGATGGAGAACATTACTGTTGGATGGCTTCGACTGTTGCGCAACCTTCTTCAGTGGGTTGAAGAAATCGTTAAAGGCGGACCGCGCTGTTTGACTTTTAATTTTGTGTCTGTAAAGGGTGCAACTGCGACCTCTTCAAATGTGGTTAAAATTGAGTTAGTCAGCAAGGTAAAATATACAAGGTGTCTCTAAAGCATGGTACCAAACATGAACGGGCGATGAAAAATGTTATTTTGAGTAGAGTCTCCTGTTAGCATGCGTAGGAAAATATGTACTAAAAAAGTTTAAGTAATCCAAAAGCTTTTCTGCAAAACTTCTTAGTTTTGGAATATGTGATTTTTTTTTTAACATGAATACAAGGAAGATCCAAAGATAAAATGCCATTGAAATAAATGTGTTTCATTTTTTGGCCTCATTTACAAAAAAATCAGTGGACTCATTGAGTTTTGATTAAATAACATGAGCTTGTTCTGTTTTCTTACAAAATATAGATGTACAGAATGTTATGTTTCAGTGATAATTGTCATTAATTTTAACCACGTATACGTAACGCTTAATAGACAGAAAATCGAAAAAAAAAACAAAAAAAACGGACGTTGTAGCGAAACAGCAGATTTTTCAAACTTTTGACAAATTTCAATAGAATTACTCTTTACAGCATAGCAAATCTCCATTTTAATGAAATGTCTGTCGAATGTTGTTTTTTTTTCCATATAAACTAGGCGGTATCTGTTTTGGTTTGGGTGAATTGTATATCCACGAAGATTTTTGGCTTTTTGGCTTTCAAATATCACCAGATATGAAAATTTTTCTATGCGCATAAAAAAACGTGGACTTAGCTTTTGGCGGCACAATATGTTAAAAAAATCGAAATATATAATATTTTTCTTCCTATTTAATTATGTACCTTTTCAAGAGTTGATTTTAGACGAAAATGGAAGAGGAAAAACATGTTTGTAATTAAATTTTACAAAATATGACTAGTTACTAATCGAATTAATCATGATTATTATTGTAAAAATCGAAAAAATCTCCAAAAGTAGGGTTAAAATACATTACTTTTTAGGGAATTTTCTTTGGGGTCTTTAAGTTGGGTATAGGACCTTCATACTTGGCTCAAGAAAACTTCATGTTATGTAGAATCATCACATCAAATTTCATCAAAATCGGTGTGAAAGATTTTACATAATTTTGCAATCCAGATTTTGAAAAAAAATTTGCAAATTTTCAAAATTTTGCACAGCAAAAACCAAGACCCTTAGATACTAGAAAATTTATTTAATCACATATAGAAAGGCTCTCAAACTTTCAAACGCTTTTTGAAAAATTCGAATCCGTCAATTAGGAGAGCTCTGGCGCTTGTTTAAACATTGGTCGAATTTTTGTACTTATAAACAATTAGAATAACTTTAAATATTCAACCAAATAAAATTTTTTAAAATAGGTTTTAAAAGTTCTTGGAAAGACGCTTCCTTTAAGAAAAAAACAAATCGATTGGTCAATTAATTACGTAGTTATAGCCGATCAAAGTTAACCGTCATTTACACTAAATGTACTGGGACATCCGGGCTAATTTTTCGAAAAATAGCTTTGGTATTCCAAGT